TTTTTTAAATAAATGTTCCTCAATTTTTGTGTTTATTATGTACAAAATTGAGGAAGAGTTATGCTTTGAAACGAATCAATTGAAGTATCTTCATCGAAGTAATACCACACCTTCTCAGAAAACAAGCCTGAAACGAGTTCAATAATTGTTTAATCGTGTTGATAAAATTATTATTATGCAGTTGTCAAGTGCTCGATAGAAATACAGAATCTTAAACTATTTTCATTTTTACGACAGGCTGACGATCTAATTACTCTCTGTGGCAAAAGAAAAAAAAAACAATAAAATAAAAAAAAAAACATTGAAAATATAATAAAAAAATACTTAATTATTTATTGCAAGTATCAAGACTATTCAATTGTTCAATCGAATCCGAGATGAATGAAGCGATTAACACGAGACGCAGTACAACCTTGATTGGTGGACGCAAGAGTCGGACGATTGTCGTGCGACTGAGTGGCGACTAATCGCAGTAAATAGTAGTTGTTGTTTTGTTGCATGAGGGCGTTACGATCGTTTTTGGGATAGTGTTCTTTTATTGAAGGAATTAAATTATATGCGACCAGCGACAGAGGGATGGTCGGTTACCTTACTTTGATCCTTATGCATAGGAAACAAGGCATTTATTACTATAATACTGACTCATTATTTGTGGTATTAGACTTATATTAAATAGAATTAAAGATGACAATTGAATTGTTCTAAACATTTTAAAAGGCCGCTCACACTGCAAAATAAAAGTGGAAAAGAAAAAAGAATCTAAGTAGATCATTAATAAAAAAAAAAAATCATTTTTGTGTTTAACGTCTGTCGTCAAACAAAATAACCGTGTGTATACTTGGCCTATTAAAGACCAAATATGGTCCATATATTAAATTTTATTGATTATAACCGTGTTTTTGATTTGAAATATTAATTTGATAACACGTTTTTGGACACGTGATCTTGTTAGTAGAAAAATAAACTAACTATGTATATCGGTGAGTAAGAGATTCTATAGTAGGTATAATTTTATGTCCTTTAATTTCTGTCTTTTGAATTTTGCGTTCTGAGGTACAGTGTGCTTCATTGGGTATTACCATTTATTATAACAAAATTACTTACCAAAACCATTCAAAAATTTGTCTAGTAGTTTTCGGGATTTTCGCGCTTTTATATAGGCAAAAGTCGGTGGTGACTTGGAGGTTAATGCAAGCACCAACCTAGCAAGTACCAAAATGTGACTTGTTCTAATTAATATCTACCGTCTTAGTGTATTTAGGATCCTCCTTCTCTCATACTGAAACTGAAAGAAAACATTACAAGTAAAGAAATAGTTTGAAATCACCAATCCGCTTTGACCATTATTGGTCGAACCTTCTCCGTCTCAAAAGAAGCGTTTGCTCAGCACTGAGCAGTTATTTTGTAGGCTGATGATATCCTTAAGATATAGTATAAGCTTAGGTACAAATAAAAAGAATGCCTTTGGGCATTAAGTCTGCCTTGGTATTTAGAAAGTATATGAAAGAAAGAAATACCATTTATTTTTGTGCACATAAACCCCCAAAAGATAGGGGATGAAATATTTGTACAAATCTTCATAGATTCTCGACTGATTGAACTGAAATTAAGGATTGAAGCTAATACGACAATGATAAAGACCTTATTGAGTCTAGTATCCGATTCTGGTAATTTAAACTCCCATATGGATAAAATAAGGGGCGATGGAGGATGGAAAAACGCGAGAGCAGCCGGCTACAGCCGTTCGCTAGTTTAGCGTATACCAAAGCGTTTTTTGTTTACCATATACTATAGCTAGTCATTTTTAGCATTTAAATTATAAAAAAATGGACTATAGAATTCCCCGACTACGCCACCCACGCTGCACTGCACGTGACTCCAATCTATGACGTCACATCAGAAACTGGATTTGAAGATGAGCAGAAACCTTAATGGTTTATTTCACATTGAAAGATTAACGATGCTTCTTTAATTTTCCCTTTTTTGGTTGTATCGATTGTTACCGATAGGTTGGCAAACTAGCAGCCGGATTACCTGATGGTAAGCAGTCGGTGACACTCATAGACACCCGCGACAATTATAGGAGTCATAAGTGCGTTTCTGGTGTTTTGGGATATATGAAGGGAGGGAAGGATATAAAAATATAAGAATATAACTACCTATATAAAGAAGCATTTAATATATGATAAGCGAAAATAAGCTGATGCTTAGAAAAAAGGGTTATAAATGTTTATTGCATTCCTAGTCGTCGTTTTTGTATATTGTAAACTTTTTGCTATAAAAATGGGTTTGCTTTTGGCCATACAATTGAAAAATCAAAAATATTCTGTATGTCTTGCAAACCGATAACTGGTAACTGTTTCTTTATCTTCATAACGTCACGTCGTTCAAACTAATTACTTTCTACATATATGCAAAACTAGCTTCCACCCACGGCTTCGCCCAGGTGGTGTGTTGATAAAAAGTAGCCATGTCCTATTCCGGAGTGTCCTATGCCTGTACCGAAAAAAATTTCGTCCAAATCCGTTTTGTCGTGATTGAGTAACAAACATCCAAACATCGTAACTTTCGCATTTGTAATATTAGTAAGATATATATTTTTTTTGTTAGGGTAGGGCCGCGCGGGATTGAGTGTCAGACTCTTACTGACTAAAAACCCCCCTGTTCCTTCTCCTGTTCTGAGCCGAGGTCGCCGTGCCTCATTGCGCTTACTCCGCAACCCCGGCTGAGTAAGATATAGTATGCAGTGGCTTTTGTAAATAGGCGTTTAGATTGGGTTGACACCATAAAAACTCTTAAATACCTATATTAGTACTATCCGAATGTTACAGGTCGTCACATGATGCAACCTAAATAATAAAGAAATAGAAAAATTGTCTGTGTAACTGATTTGAAAACGGTAACCATGGAGTTTCTTGATAATTCTTCTCCAAAGGAATCTATACTTTGGAGCTTGGAACTTCACTAGCGGACTGATCAACAGACTGACCTTTTTGAGTGAAAAGTGCCTTATAATGGTCTGTTCTACCTTAATAATTGTATTTGAGTATCTATTACTCGTGACTTTGAGTGCCCTTCATCAATTATTTCATTGAATTTAAAAAAAGACTTATATACCTTTATCTCACTTCTAAGCGTATGTCAGGTGAATAAAATTAATATAGGTATGTCAATACTATATTCGCCCGCGGCTTTGCACGCGTATATAAGTAATGTATCCCAGGATTTTAAAAATAACAGCGTTAAAAGCGATAGCTCGACTAAAATACGCAAATCAGTATAATTTAGTCTATAGTACTCAGAAACATCGAAATATCTATAAGTGAAAGAATTGTGGAAATCCGACCATCGGTTTCAAAGATTATCATATTTATACAAATTTTACCTTTTTAAAATATTAGTACTAAATATGGCCGGACCCTGTGAGTTAAAAATAGTAACTGTTTATAGCTCAACTACTTGCTATAATATTTGGACTAGGATCAACTACTGTACTCAATCAAAACTAATAATAATAATTCTTTATTTCATTTTAGGTGGTGTTACAATATTGTTTACACTAATATTCATATGGCATGGGGCCAAACATTCAAATTAGTTGCTACACTAAGAAAACCCTTATACGGCCCAGGTTTTATTAGCTTAGTTCTGGATTATTGTTTTCTGAACAAGATCGTTATTAAGAAGTAATTTAAGTAAGCATTAAGTAATTTAAGTATCTTTGGTTTGTGTATTAGGTAGTTTTAAAATATTTCAAAGGTAAACTTAAGACTACTAAAATTCATTGATCGATTAACGAAAAAACAACCTTAAAACTCACCTATCACGTTATTAGAATACCTATAAAGCAAAAACCCCAAAAATCACAAAAAGAACGTAGAAATCTCTTTTGTCTGAGTTGAGTTAAATAAAATCGTTTCCTAAAGACCTGTTAAATGTTTAATGGAGTTACAGACGGGTTAAGTCAACCGATTGATGGCAAGATTTACAATTCAAAAGCCCCAATCATGATCGTGATCGGATTTTGGCTTCACGTCATGTGTTCCAACTGATTTTTGGGTTCACACTTGAATTAGGGAGTTGGGTAATAGAATTTGCATTGCTGATTCAATAGTCGACTTTGCTATGTGGTATTTAAAACTTAAATGCTTTGATTGAATTGTAATTGGCGATGAATGAATTCTTGTGAATTAAGTTAAGTAACTCTTTAGTCGTTGTGGTCCTGTTGGGCGACCTTTCTCATAAATGAGGGTATTTGAAACCTGGCAAGGACCTTTGTGACTTTTTTAGTTATATTAACTTTAAGTTGTTTGTTGTAACTTATAATCAGAAATTGTAAGTGTTTTTCAATGCGATTAGAACGTACATATAACTCGGAAAAAGTTGCATAAGTATGCAATTGCCAGGTTTTTAAAAAGCCTCCTTGTGTATGAGAAACGGGCCTCTTAACCTCCGGGCTGCCATGTCAACTATCAAACACACTGTCATGTTATGCGTTCCTTGTGATAAAGTCTATGGTCATACATGTCTACAATCCTAGTGTCCAAATCTCTTTCATAGGGTTATTTTCCAAGGAGAAGGATGAATAAAAATATAGGTTCACCTTAAGCTTGCCTGTGGCTAACTAAATTAGCAATCTACAAAGCAGCGGTAGTCTTTGTGTTATTATATTTTTTCTCAGCTGCAGCATAAAACGAATACTTAATACCTTCCTTTTAAGATATTAATTTCACAAAGAATATTATAATGACTATGCAAAATAGAATTCCAAAACAAATTAGGAAAAAAATAAAGTAAAGGGGTTTGAATGAATATTAATTTATTCTTGTGATACTTTTAATAATTTAATATTTAGTTTGATTTTGAACATAATATCTTAATACCAAGATTACGATCTATTGAAAATCTGATATTTACTGCATCTGTGATGAACAAGCATGCAAGGAGTCTATGAAACAGAGACATTAATAAAATGTTAATCACAAACAATTTTGTTACAGATATAACTGGGATTAACACACAGACAGACACTACAGAACCAGTAGAAAGCACAACTATTGACTTTAACTACACACAAAATGAAGAACCAGTTTTCAGAGAGGGTCGAAAGGAGAACGGATCATACGTTTTCGTAGTCGATGACGATGGTTTAAACGCAACTATATCAGAAGACTTCCCACATGACGCACCAGAAAGTGCCTCCAGAGTGCTTGTTGCAAACAAACCAAACGGCACTAACGAATTCAAATTTGAAAATCGTAAAATAGAATCAAGTCCCCCAGTGAAACATCCAATCAAAATGCTACATGATGGAGAAATTCAACCAATAATAAGCAGAAATGTTAAAGATTCTATTAGAGCTCATGTGAGATACGATGAGGTTACAGGTGAATTGATGAATGGAGATCACCCTTGTAATAGAGAATGCAAAGAAGGTGAAGAGCCAATGATTTGCTATTATCATTTCGTTTTGGAATGGTATCAAACGATGAGCAAAGCGTGCTACGACTGTCCGTACAATTTAACTGACTGTACACGCCCTGATTGTATCCCCGCTGATGGAATGAATCGACCTCTGAACGTGGTTAATAGAAAAATGCCAGGCCCTGCCGTCGAGGTGAGTTTGAAATATTGCCTGGCTCAACTCTGTTGCTTTTAAACGCAAAATGTTTAGTGTAAAAAATGTGCCACCATTTTTTTATCCAACTTATATATTGTTAGAGGAATTTTAGACCGAGAGCGACAATATTGTGACAATTAGCTTTGTAGTTTTAATTTTGTATGAAACTGCGAGTTGTTTTAATTGGGTCTCGTTAAATAAAAGTATGGAAACGTGATTGTTACGACCCGCAAATAGTTGCGACTGTTTTATGTAAATTCTCGTTGTGTGAAACCTAATTTGATAAACCTTATTAAGTGTTAACTAGATGTTTTTATAATTGGTGTAAATTTCATTAATTGATTGTGAATCAAATTACTACTAACCACGATACAACTTTTAATTAAAATGTAATTTGATATGTGTATTAATTTGTTTAAATGATTTGAAATACAAACTACTCGTAAATAATTTCAGCGCACACACATAAAGCCTTTATTTAGAATGGGCTCATCAATAATCAAATAGATACGCACATTCTTAGAATTGTAATAAAAATATTGCACAAACTCAAATATTTGGATAGTTCTGCAAATATTTACATTTAATTTACAAAGGTTATGTACCTTCGCCTTTTTAATAAAGAGTTGACAGTACATTTGCTTACTCTTAAAACTTGAAAATAGTTTTTAATTTTATTTATTTATAGCATTCTTTGTCGTAGGGAAAACATATCATGAAACATCGGGGGTATTTTTATTGTTTTCTTAGAAAACCTTCTTAGTTACATACCGTCACTCCATTGCAAGCCAAACTGTTTTACCTGTCATTCAAGAGGACGTGAGAACATTCGAAGTATTTCCCTCTTTTAGCCCGTCTCCTAATTATTGCCAATTTTTTCAGGTATGCCAACATGATCGTGTGATCGTTGACGTGGAGAATGACCTGATGACGGAAGGTACCACGGTGCACTGGCATGGTCAGCATCAGAGAGGCACTCCATACATGGATGGGACGCCATACGTGACGCAGTGTCCCATATTACCTGAGACCACATTCAGGTAAAGATAGTTTCTGCTCTCATTCCTAGCTTACTTGAATTTATTCAATGTTCAATAGTATAATTTTGTAAGGTTTTGTAGTTTTAAAGTCAATTTTAATAGTTACTAGTATCCGCCCACGGCATCTAGTCTAGTCTATGCTCCTATTCCGAAGTGTATCCTATGCCTGTGCCAAATTTTATGCAGATCCGTCCATCCGTTTTGGCGTGATTGAGTAACAAACATCTAAACATTGTAACTTTTGCCATTTATAAGGTTTCAAATATGTAAAATTTTCATAAGATGGCCAATCGGGTCCGTTTTAATTTATGAAACCCCAAGCGAATCTATTGTTCTTCTATTGTGTCTCGAATTACCAAGATTTAAAGGTTAAGTAAGGGATTCAAGAAGTCTGATTTAATAGACTTCTCTGTTAAGACACTTCTAAGTTGTTTAGGTAAATTTGTTTCTTTTGTACAATTAAACAGTTCTCGATTAGGCTCTTTATTTAGCACTTTTAACTAAATTTAGCTTTATATACTCAGCCGGGTTTGCGGGCGAAGCACAATAATTTACTGCAACTCGGTCTAGAGCAGGAGAAGGAATGGGGTGTTCTTTAGTTAATAAGAGTCCAATAGCTTCCAATACTCGCAAGTCAAAAGATGATATTCCGACCTCAAAATTTGAAAACTACTTTTCATGTACAGAAGTGGTTGTAGCTGTAAAGTATTTAAAAAAAATCTTCGCCTAACAGTCTTCTAATCAAATTCTTAATATTTTCCAGGTACCAATTCAACGCTACTCACGCTGGCACCCACTTCTGGCATTCTCATTCTGGTATGCAGCGAGCTGATGGTGCAGCTGGAGTCTTTATTGTGAGGAAACCAAAGTCTCAGGATCCTCATGGAAGATTGTATGATTATGACCGGTGAGTTTTGTTTACTTGTATGTGCATCTAAGTAAAGGAACTTAGTTGAGAAAAAAGATCCCCTTTGTTCGTAGGGTTAGTATTTTCTATTGAAGACTGTCGAGTGGACTTCTGAAAATTCCAATATCATAAATCTAATTTTGGTCAATTTTGTTCTTATACCCAAATCATTTCGGATTCAAGGTAACAAAAAATCACGAATAAGAATTTTAAACAGTAACAAATTAAATCTATTCAAAATAAATAAAGAGGTAACATTTGAAAGTTTGTATGTAGGGGTAATCTTTGGAAACGCTGGTCGGATTATCAAAATTATTTTACTAATAGATAGCTACAATGTTACTGAGCTGGCTGGCTGTAAAACATCATCCTTCGACCAATAAAAGCCGAGCAGCGGGAAACCGCACGGCAGTAGCTAGTTTATTATAAATAACGACCAACTTACGCGTATTAACTGAGTATGGTTCTACCAGTTTCAATTCACAACAGTAAGAAGTTATTTTAAATAAAACGATAGACACCTATCGAGATATATACAAAAAATATTTTTATTTAGTGGCCAAAATATAAGAAAAGCCGCTCTAAAATACGTCAATTGCTAATGTCTAATGCAAAGATTTTCGATTCACCGTACCACATTTCAAAGGGCTATATAACTATCAACTTGTAGACTGTAAAGGGCTGTCTTCAAGGGAACAAATTGTGTTACGAACCGTTACTTTAACTAGGTGAGACCGTCGGCTTTACTTGTGTCAATATTGATACGTACAGAGGTAGAAATAAATAGCCCGTCTTTTGTAGAAGTCAAGTAGTTTTATTTATTTTGGGCACTTACTTTGTGGACATGGATTTCGATAGGATAGGATGGAATGGCGATTTGCAAAGGACAGGGATTTGTTTGAAGAAGTTTGTTGTTGGAGTATTTTAAATACTGGTTTTGGGGATGTTGAGTCGAAGTATTTCACGAGTTAGTGGTCGAAGTAAAGGAAGGTGCAAATGGCTCAATACATAATTATGCACGAGGGTAATAGTTAGAAGGCTACTAAGTACCAATGTGACTTTTACCGAGTTATATGTGCTTTCTAAGATTATTTTGACACCACCGACAAAACTAGACTTATCTATCTAAATATTTTATAAGTTTGAAATCGCTAATACGCCTTGTGCAAGCCTGGTGTTCAATGCTCAAACCTTCTCTGTGTGAGAAGAGGCCTATGCTCAGCAGTGGACGCTTACATATATACTGATGGTGTAAGTTGCGCTATAATTGGTGGATCGTAATATCCCATTTTTTGTTTCGTTTTTGTTCAAACTTCATAGCAAACAAAATCAAAATGTGACTTGTTCTAAAAGTTCAATAACTATAATTTTTTTTTTTTCGTCTATAACATCCAACGAATCTTTTACAGATCAGACCACGTGATGCTGGTAACAGACTGGATCCATGAGTTAGGAATTAGCATGTTCACTGACCATCACCACTCCAAAGGAGACAATAAGCCGCCGACCCTCCTCATCAATGGAGTTGGCAGGTTTAAGGTCTTCAATGAAACTGCTAAACCCATGTATATGAGAGCTGCCAGGTTTAATGTGGAACAGGTGAGATTTTTATTATATACTTTAGGACATCTATACTAGTATTTTAAAGAGGTAATTTTTAAGGGGGTAATCTTTGGAACAGCTGGTTGGATTTCCCAAAATTTTTCACTTATAGATAGGCAAGGTTCCTGAGTGGTATAAACTATCTCGCTACGATGAAACAGAGTCAAGCAGCGGTTGAAACCGCGGGAGAGTAGCTAGTTATATATAAAACAGTAGTTAGATTTGGCTGCAAGTTTTACACGGTGGCTAAGCAACTGGCTGCTGTGCAACTTGTTGCTAGTCCGATTCTCGCACGTCACATCTCTTTGTGTGATCCACAAATTATTGTTTCGGGTCTGGGTGTGATGCAAACTTTTATAATCTTTAACGCACTCATCATACAGGTGATAATCCTAGTAAAGGAAAAAACAAACCTCGTTGTTTGAATGGTAGAAGTAGTCATTTTTTATTTAAAAAAAAGTTTATAGCTTCAAGTCTAGCAATTTTCAGAATAATATGTGTATGGTAAAGACTTAAGTAAAAATGTGAAGCTAGATTTAAAAATCGATATTAAAATATTTATCATTAAAATTCAAAACCTGATTCCTCTCTTCCACTTCAATGACAAAATCCTTATCACTTAAACTCGAACGCTTAAGCACTGCCTTCAAAGAATCTCCTAACGATGTCACCTGAGGTATTCAACCAAAAATTTTCCTTATTTCCAGGGCTACAAGTATCGTTTCCGCGTGATCAATGCCGAGTTCCTGAACTGCCCTATAGAGTTGTCTGTGGATGGTCATAATATAACGGTGATCGCTTCAGATGGTTACGACTTGCAACCGATTACAAGTAAGTGATCATTGTAATAGTTATTGTAATGATCGGATCTCGAGTGATGGTGTAAGACTGGCTTTGAATTTAACATTCAGTTTAGATACGGATGGATTTTATGGATTGCAGTTTCTTGCAATTGAAAATGGGAATTAAATCGACTAGCTTACAGCTCATGTTGATACAGGAGATTGTAATCTTAGAAGGGATAAAATTGACGATTCCATGACTTTTATAAACAGTTTTATAAAAACTTTTTGTAATAGGATATTCTAAAGAAGTTATCAGGCGAATTTGCCTTGTAATACGGCGGACGAAATACCTGATGATAAGTTTGCATCACCCACAGACGGGTTAGCACCAGAAGAGATGCAAGGGATTGGGGTTTTAAGGTTTTAGGGAATGGGGTGGGATGAGTAGATGGGGATGAGCCTCCAATAGCTAATTGACCCACACGATAAAACACATGCTATGATTTCTCACGCTTATTTTTCTGTGATGCGATGTGTCACTCCGGTTGAACCAGCCCATTCGAGCCTAAGCATGGTTCCCCACATTTAAATCCATACAACACGAATGTTTCTTTATAGGAAAATTGCGAAATAATTTTATTACTGAACGAGTTGACAGAGACCCAATTTTATAGGTCAAAGCTTGATAATACCGTGTGATTAACGATCGCTCCCAATAATCTGTTTGGATGTGGATATGTTAAGGCTGAATAGGTATAAAATTTGGCACATTTTGTGTCAGAGTTCAAGGCTCTGTTTTACAATGCATGATTAGTCACTATGTATCACATAAAATTTAAATCGTATTCTTTCTTATCCCATTGTGATTTCTTGTTCGTTCTCCTCCATTGGAGTTTAAGATCTTAGTTTGACTTTCCAATTTCGTAATTAGAATGGTCTAATAAAAATAAATGATAGCAGGTATGTACTTATATGGCCGGTCATACTGATGACCCTCATTAAATCAATCAATCACATTATTTAAATCTTGATAAATGACGCCATGTTACAGAAGGGGAAAAATAACCAATTAACAATGTTTTATTAACCGAAATAGCTCACAAAATAGGAACGAAAAAATTAATATTCAAACAATTGTTGGCAAAACTCGTATTAAAAGATAAGAATATAAGTAAAAAGCAGAAAAACATTAAAGTCTTCCCACGATCACAGGTTATATCAAACATAATGAATTGAAACGTCCATTAGGAGGTACGTACAAAAACCGTCGAGTATTCGCTTTGATATTTTTCATTTTTATGTTCATTTACATTCAAATCCGTGGTTTCTTTTGTCGCTTGGCCCGGGGTCGTCTTTGCTATTTTTTCCTCATTACCCGCCTATCTCACTCCGGGTGTTATTGTTGGGTAGGTGTATTCAGAAGTACCGCAATACTCATAAGGTGAAGATGTATCGTCCTAGAGTGGAGACCAAGTCTAAGCAAATGTAGTGGAGGGCGCCCTCCAAATAGTTTTTTAGAAAAACATAAAATTACTTCTCATGTCCAAGGTGGGGCGGGAGGGAGTCTCAGACTCTTACTGACTACTACCCTATTCCTACTCCTGGCCCTCCAGCTAGGTGAACTTACGATATTCGCAGGGTAGCTGGCAGTGTATGGATGAGAAGAGCTGAACATCGAGCTCAGTTGCGTGCAATTGGGCTGATGATGATAATGATGGTGATTATATATCCTCCAAAATATTGATAAAACAGATCATAGAGTTTAAATGAGAGACTGATTAACTCGTTCCTATTACTAACAGATACTGAATCGTTTCTTTAATCAATAGAAGAGTCTTGCAAAGTTGTCAAAAACAAGAATAATTTGAAATCGTAAGTTAAATAAAAAAGAATTAACGCTTAAACGTCAGCTCCATAAAAGCACACATAAAGTTTCATTTATGACCAGACAAAAATGATTTTAAAGTGGGGTTTTAAAAATACTGACCAATAAACTTCTGTATTCTATTTTATAGTGGTTTATCATTGTGACCCGATAGCCCTAGGCTTTGTTTTAGCCAGTGTGGTGCTAGTATTACTGGGTTTTAATCGTTCGTGCAAATTTGCCGAAGTTAACAACCTTTTGCCCTTGATAGCTAGCGTTTAGCTTATGTATGAAGTCATTTTTAGGCAGAAATATTGTAGGACGTGCCTTAAGGCTTGGTGGCATTCCGATATCCGTAAGCTGAATATAAAGATGTGATGAACAAGGTAATACAACGTGATTTTTTCATGTTCTTTTACGATTTTTTGCCATTGCTTTAAAAAGAGATCCTTCAGAGATTTGTTGGTAAGGAACCATGTCAGCATTGTCACCGGCTGTTAAATATTTGACTTCTGAGAAAATGAAAACGAAGTACGTTTTATCAACAATTATATTTTTCCCAAAACCATCGAATATATCCGTTGCATGAACTAAGTTTATTCATATTACTTGCATCTAGTCTAATTACAGCTCATTCATTTATTCTATCATATATCATAAAATTCGATAAAATAATTCCATTCTCACATGTTACAGCCAACGTTTCGAGAGATAGGATAATTTAAGCTCGCATTAGTGCAGTCGTTGCGGATACGGTGTTATCACATCGTTTGCGAACACACTACCAACTTGCTTCCTCTGAATATCATCCGCTAGAGATTTTTGGTCAAACATTGGTGACTAATGTTGGTCTGTTGGTGTATTCATTGTTTTATCCGGAGTTATGGTGCTACTAGATTCTGGATCTGAATTTGGTTATGTGGTTACAACCACATGTATGATTAAGTGAGATCTAAGTATGATTAAAATCCCCTGAGGATACAAAGAGTATTCCTATAAGACCACAGTAATAAACAATAAATAAAAAAAACTGATATCCTTGTACGACATTAATATGACAAGACGAGAAGAGACCAGACGAAATGCAATACTAAAGTTATAGAGCAAATAGACCATCATATATGGGGCCAAACAGGGCTGATGTGCAGCTGGGGTTTCAGGTGCTAGCGCAATAACATACCGCGACCCATAACCGCATAAATAGAAATTATTTTGTCAGTAACATCCTCTCCGTCTCACCCCACCTAGGAACAGAATTGATGATTTTCTCCTCTCAAAAAAGCCAATTTATATCGTCTGTCGGCAATAACTTCTAATTAAAAAGCAAAGTCCCAATAAAGCAACAACGAAATTAAATCGTCAACAGTAAACTGGGAAACTAATAAAAAAATTCTCTACCAGAGGCGGACAATCAAAAATTTTAAATAATACAATCAACGAACAAACGGAACGTACTAATAGGAATACAGCGAATCAAAAAACTGGAAACTGAAAATTCAAGTTGGTTTAAGGGCGACGCCGAACAAATTGTCGGGGACGCGGAACTGGAAAAATGCATACGCCCAGTTAACAATGTAGAAGTGAGGGGAAATACGAAAAAAGAATTAATTGAAACTCTTGTCATCTCGTTATTAAATGCAAAATAGATTCGTTCGTTGGCTCCCTGCGCGACACTTGTGTTGCGTTGCTTTTGGTTCGTGGTCTTTTGTTTTTTAATGATCTTTAAATACGTAATTTTGTGTAGAAATTATGGTTATATCATTTGCTGTGGTTTTTTGGCTTCTGTTTTACATATGTGCATGTCGCCACGCCTGTCGCCCATTGTGGTAATCGAATTGAACGCCAAATGATATACTTCTGATATATACTTTAGTGGCTTCTTTTACATTTGTTCTGTTATAAGTGCCAAAATTTGTTTAATATTTTTGAGTTTATGTAACGGCATCCTTAATACAGTAATCTGTTTTAATTAAGTATTGTCGTTAAGAATCTCGCACAGGATTGAAACGTGTGCCATTTCCTTATTGGATATTAACTTTGTAACTTACGTTATATTAGTATTTCCTCAAAACACTCAAATTATACGCAATAACGTACCGAAACATCGTTAATATTATCCAAACACCGAAAAGGAAATTAAAATCCGATATTTGCTCAGAAAACTTTCGCTGAACTAATATCAGAATTAAAATCAACATTAAATTCGAGCAGGGCATCGTCGGCGTTTAGTTGGCCAGCTTTCGTGCTCATCCCCTTTGGAAATTTACATATTCAAATGTGCACGAAGGATCAAAGAGCTAGATCTGTTACGTAGACGTTTGGTGAAAGCGTTACTTGGATGGAAGCCGGCGCTTGGTAGAACAAAATTGGCAGGCAAAGTAAAAATTTCATAGATTCACTACGGCTAACATAAGGTTTGCTTACTCAGATTTGTGTGAGGCGTTTACAGTTGCTGTTTATGTCATAAACACACAAATATATTGCAGCAAATCTATTTTTTATTCAATCTTTTCCTTTCTTTTATGTTTTTCCCCTTTTGCCTCAAATAACATTCTCGTTAAGTTGGAATTGCTTCCTCGTCCAATTACATTCATAACAACTAATATGAAACTAATAACACTACGGTCGAGTAGTTTGTTCTGTACCTTTGTCCAATCCCTTCGAGGCAGAACTATGTTAATGTCTGTTTAAATACCTCTTAAGTTAGTCCGTACATGAACTGAACATTTAACATAGAGGTGGAATGAAGAGAGAGTAACATTCTTTCACTATAGTTTTGGTTTAAAATATTGACAAAGAATATGCATAATTTCATCACCACACTTCTAAATAAATTGTTTCGCTTGCAACATGGAAGTTGAAATGAATGCGGCGAAAAATTAACCTTACTCGTGTTTGACCTTTGATTACTTTGGTAGGACTGTTTTTGTACCCGTGGGATCGTCCGCTACCCTTTGACCCAGCAAACTTAACCCAAGGACAGGTGTAGCTAGGGAATATTGTGGGACGCAAAAATTGTTCACTAATGGCAGCCCCGCTAATGTTATTCTGGGTACCATGTTTTTCAATGTTGTGGAAACCGTTTTAATGGACGGTGTTGGGCTTAATACTGGGGAAAGTAATTAAGGGAATAATTTAAGACTTGATGATATAGATGTTGTGAAAACAGGACAGTTTTGTAA